TCCTGCAACAGCAAATACTCTGACTAGAGAATGTACCGTACCTCAGATCCTGCACAGAACACAGCTTGCAGATAAACCATCTGGCAAAGCAAAACCAGTCAGAATTAAGAGTTTAAGATTTTCTGTGTGCAAAACACTCCTTCTGTTAATAATTGGACCATTTTGGATTTACATAAAATATTCAGGTGCTTTTTAAAAGTTATAATAGCATAAATACTCTGTTATCATTGGTACATTCCTTTTTCATACTAGGTTTGTAATAACTTAATATATTTAATATTTAGTTAAACAATTTTTAGTAGATGCTTTGGCAGTCAAATTCTTACATATTCTCTATTTCTATAAAAGTATTTAGGTACATTTTTGGGGAAAAAAATCTGGAGACTACTTAAGGGTTATATGCTGTACAAAACAGCAGTCCAAACCATCACTGCAATTGCTGTAAAAGACACAGTTAATAAAAGAGTAGAAAAAGGAATGCATATTTGCTAGAAGATACCCAACATTCCCAGGAAGGAAGAATATACATTTCCACCTTTTTTTGTTTTGTTTTCTTGCAAGTGAAGTCGGAGAAGGATTGTCAGTTATTCTAAAAACATTTCACTTATTTCAGTTTATGCAATAATTGTGATTCCCACACTCTACACATCAGTGTTACGAAAATCTTTGAACAGACACATTCCCTGGGACCCTGTTTGTTCGTGACAATTAGAAAAAGTTAAAAAAAACTCATCAACTATTAGTTATAAACTAGTACATTATGGAAATTGGCAGTGGGTATTTCCTCATTATAGGGTGACTGCTGTACTTTATTTGTAACAGAAAAACAGGGAAAAAAGAAAAAAAGAAAAAGGACCTTCTGAGTCTTCATACTGAGAACTGTCTCGTTGGGCAACAGAGTGGAGCAATTAGAGTCCATAAATACAGAAAGACACAAACCCAACAGGAGACCATCTTAATCCAGAAGATGGACCAGGTCCCAGTGAAGAAATTTTCAATCTGAGCACTTTCATAACTGTTAAAGAAAAAAAAAGAAAGAAAGAAAGAAAGAAAGAAAAAAAGCAGTAAATTCACCATATAAGTCTATTCACATCACAGCCTGAAGTACCCTCTCCCTTCCTGAGGGGGTCACAGACTTCAAGTAATTTAACTCAGACCTGAAGCTGGGGAGCAGAGTTTTTTGCAACAAAACCTTGCTCAGGAGTCCCCTAGGAGAGATTTGGATCCATTCTGCCAGCCTCCCATTCTAAGAGAGGAGACACTCATCTAATGGTAGAAATTCCCATTCGTATCTCCCCTCTCTTAACAGACATTAATTTCTCGGCCTTAAAGAAATATACTTACTGGAACCAGTGAGTTACTGTCATCATCACATAGAGCGAAGCCAAGAAGAAAACGAAGTGGAAGTAGGAGTAACTGTACACTGTGCCTTTCTTTTCATCATATATTACAGTCTGGCCTCCTCTTTTTTCAGTGTGTTCCTCAGCATCAGCTGTAAGAGATGGGAAACAACAATGAAAAAAAATTTGAAAATGTAACGAGAACAGCAAACAGCAGCTGGTTTCATGAAACATAGAAGAGACATAAGCAAAAAAGCCTTTGGTATGATTTAGCAAAGCCTGGTACAGAGCTGCACTTGAACACCTTCTTGCCCTGAGGGTATGGACCTCAGATTTTATTAAAATAAATGAGACTGCTACTGAAATGCTGCACTATATCAAGTTCCTGATCTACAAGATGTTTTTGAGTACATGGAGCATTTTAAAGAGTCTACCTGTAGGACACTTTGGAGGAGGAGCCACAGAGCAGCTGACCCCACAAACCTGATAGTCACAGTACATACATGCAAGGAGCAGAGATTCCTCTGCAGGTTATACTAAACAGCTTTCGTTTAAGAAATTATTAACTAGCTTGCTGTTTTAAAACAGTATTTTTGTCTCACTTCCCTTCCTTCTGTAATGTTTTGCTCGAGTAAATCAGCTGCTCAATACACTACTGAATTAGGACAGAGGAATCTCTCCATCTGCATTTTCTCTGGTTTGTTCTGAAAGCCACCAGCTGGTGGCTGGTGAGCTGGGCAGTGAACAGGTAATTACCATCTCCATCGGGCACACAGCAAAAGCAGCAACGAGCTACCTGTGAGAGAAACAACAGCCAGTGTAAGTGGTGCCAAACAACCAAGAAACAAAATGGCTGGGGAAAAAGGTCTCTAAACTGCAGACATTAGCTTAGAAAAATCTACTTTATTCTTCCAAGCAACACAAAACTCAAAGAAGGATGAGCCAAGTAGTTCACAACAGCAGTTTCTCAGCTTTGGAAAAAACTACTCAGTAAGCTTTGGCGCAAATTAATCACTCTGCAAGAGTGACTCTACTGAGACATTTTACATAATTCAACACGAAGCTCTGGTTGCAGTAATACAGCACAAGCAAGCTATGAAAAACTGCTTGAAAAGCTACAATAAAATGGCTGCACATTTATACTTCAGAGGGGATATACATCCTTAGATTAGCATCTTATATGCTTAGAAAATAAAAATTCGGAACTGAAATGAAGATGCAAATTAATACTCTGTTGTATGGGGTGGACATCATTTGCAAAATCGTAAGTCTGATATGTAGTCATTTGTATTGCAATGGAGCCAGCTTGAGTATAAATAATAGATTGTTAACTCTTCATTTAAATGTGCCTTTTTTTTAACTAATAGAAAAAAAAAGAAAAGCTGGAATTGTTCACTGATGGGTTTGATACTTCTTGTGTTGAGTGGTATTATAAATGAGAAAAAAAGTGCTGACAGTCCAATAAATATGTAACTAAGTGCATTTTCTGCAGCAGACCTCAGTACAAGTCAGCACTTTCTGTACCACATCACCAACATCACTCTCCTGATAGAATTCTACTTCGAGGTTTATTTTTCTTGGGTTCTGATGATGTATCCAAAAAAAAGTATAATAGGCTTTTAAGTTTCAACTTCCAACAGAATTATTGTTTTTTCTTGAGCATATCTATGATTACATATTCTTACCAGGCTCACAAATTAATTACAAGCCAAAATACTAACAGATTGACTGACAATTTAAAGAAATTTTTTTTCATGTTTCCATAGATTAACACCTTCTTTCTACAGTTACGCTGATCGCAGCATTGAGTTTAGTTTCCCTTCAGCTTATCAGGTTTCTGAAGCATTGCTAGGTTCCCCCAGTAAACTTAGTTTCTTTTATCAGAAATTAAGTCTTAGTCCTTACAGTGATGCAGTCAGCAACGCTGGCACAGGTACAACTAGCTGCTCAGTGACTAAGCTTGGACACAGAAAGCCTTTCTGACTAATACCAGCAACTGCAGAATTGTGTTTACATTTCTGGGGCAGAGACAAAGGCCCTTTATCACCGAGAGGACAATCAGAATGCAATTAGTTGCTCTTTGCCAGTCATTTCTTTATATTGGCACTCGACAGCTCTTGTACAGCTCTTTAAAACCAAATGGTCCAGAAATAATCCCCTCAGCAAGGGCTGCAATGGAGAGCTCGACCTCCTCTGCAAACAGACCACGCGCAGCAGCCAGCAGCTCCAAACACTCCGGGTCCAGCGGGTACCGAGCGATGTCAAGAAAACAGGGACAAGAAAGATAATCTGAGGTGAAATTGCAGGTAAAAAGAAATGTAAGGTATAATATAAAAATTATGTGCGGAAGTAAAAATAGCAGATAAAACACTGTGATCAAAAGCACTAACACTGCTGTTAAAACACAGTCTTCATTTAAAATGTCCGAATAAAAATGCCCCACACTTCTTAGTTCCTTGCAGTTTCTTAGTGCCCAGCAGATTTTCTCTTAAATGACAGAAAGGGGAAGATTATTTCTGTTCATAACGGCACATCCAAGAGCTGCAGATGGACCAGCATGGACTCACCAAGTATTCTGGAATTTCATACCTAGAGGCAAATAATACACCTGCTGTGAACACGCTTTTGCTTCTACCTGATCACAGTTTAGTTGGTCATAAAAACAACAGAAGGAAAATCCTACAAGGAAGTCTGCACAGAAATCTCGTGGGAGAAAACAAGAACTCACCTCAGCGTCAGCTGTTGCATAGATGCCTCTCAATGCTTCAGAGCTTGCACGTGTGGTTGAAGTCAAGCTAGGAGCAAAAGAAGCCAGGGTCAAAACCAACAGCTCAGTGATAAGCCTAAAAGGGTGATTTTTCACTACCTCAGGAAATATAGCAGTCTACTCTCACTTTTGAGCTAAGCACTTGCCCAGATATAGCATCAAATGCTCAGCACATGAAAAGTTATTTCTGCACCAGCAGAAACTCACTTGACAGACAGCCACTGGCTGGCTCAGACTCAAACACAAGCTTGAAAGTAGGTCACTCCTGAAAATTGCTAAATTTATCACCAGCAAACGCCAGGGACGACAGGGAAGCGTTCCAACCTGCTCTTCCTAACTTCCCAGCTACCACTTCTGGGTCAGCACTTAATAGAAGGTTTCAACATGAAAGTTTTGCTGGGGAAATAACAGCTCACTGACAGCAGGCTGCTTCCAGGAGTGAATTACCAACCAGCACTCTGAGTATTTCAGGTGCTGGAAGTCACTTGCTTGTGTGACTGCAGTTGTTGGGGTGGGAGGAGAGCCCTTTCTAGTTTCTTTAGATTAGGAGCTCCTCTGTTTTGCAAAAAACATCTAAGCAGCAATATGAATGTTCCAGCTCCATTCTGTGCTATTTGTAGACATTACTTCATTAGCATCAGGCTTACAATAAGCCTTCATTAGAGTCACCGTGATATTCCACTTACAGTGAGGTAAATGCAAAGTCCAGACTTACCAAGAATATAAAATGCAGCCAAAAAGAATGGTAGTACCCAGGCCAGTGACAAGATTTTCATCTCTGTGCAGCCCCTGGCTAAATTCAGGTACACAGATTGTGATGTTCTCATTGTTTTCATCCAAGACTTCACAAAAACAAAACAAAAACAAACAAAAAAGTTACTGAACTTCATTTCATTGTATTTCAAAGGCGTTCACAGACTAAAGGTTTTCAGCAATATAATTTTATTAGTTTAGACATTAGATAAGGACATGCAAGTCAATTCCTTCTTTCTTTTAGGAGGATCAAACAAACAAACCCTGTATGCCTGTCCGGGCAGATTCTGTGTTTCAGGCAGGACAAAATGCAAGTTAGCAGGGCACTGAAGTTTTCTGCTTGTCAGAGCAGACAAACATATGCAAAAAACATGTGAACTAAGCTAACAAGAAGTTGAAAGTTTCCCAGGACTTCACCACAAGGCCACATAACGCTGAGATATTTATGGTCTGAAGCCCATCCTCTTTAAAACCATTCAGCAGGGATCTTTGAGGACAGTTATGAAATTCATACTCAGTGGAAAGTAAAATTGCAGTGTTTGCTTGCTCTGTTCTTAGACTGATATGCAGAAGACCAAATAAACAGAGCTGCATTGGCTACAGTCAAGATTTTATTTTAATATCTAGTCAAATACAGCTCTGAGGTTCCTGAAAGGAAACCAGTTTAGTCTTTTACATTCAAAGATGCATTCAGCTTTTTGGTGTCTGCTTTGGGGCAAAGTAGGAGCCTCCAGCCTCACCCCGAAAGCAGGTGACTACTGCTGTACTTTATATCAACCAAGAGCTTTCTGAACTCATGCTATTTAAGCAAACTGTGCCCCCACCTCCTCCTCCCTTCCAGCAGCCACCCTCTAACTCCACTGCAGCAGCACAACTTTGTGTAAGGCCAGGGGGCAAAAATGCAGCAAAGACTACACCAGGTTAACGATAAACCTGGAGCCAGGACCCCTGCCCTTGTTGCCTGCAGAGCTGCATGAAGGGCTTTATCAGCACGACAGGGACAGGATGGATGTAGGTGTAAATGAAGGAGGGTAAGACTAAGGAATGCTTCGTCTGCAGACATGTGGAGTCTCCCACTTGTCTATCATGCACGCCCTGGCAGCAAGGCAGGATACTTCATGAAATCACCTCCCACCTTATCTCCCAGCAAAAAGCAAAGTCACAGGAGGATAAGCACACATTGAACAGATTTTTTCTTGTTTGCCTATGGCTTTTAAAATCATTCTGGAACTGTGTTTTTCAGATATCACAAACAAATGCTGGTAAACAGCATTCCCTGTGCACCAGTTTGTGAGATGGCTGAAGGTGCCTTAAAGGTGCCTACTTGAAGAATAAACCAAGAGGTATGTGCTACATCTGAACCTCCAGGACATGGGAAGACCTCAGTGAGTGCTGGCTCCCCACATACTCTCTCGACCATCAGCGTGTGCGCAGGCTAGTATTACAAAAACAGAAGCGTCTTCAAGAGACAATGAAAACCAGGAGAACTCTCTGGCCTGCATCTAAGGCAAGGCAGAGCACCTCTGGAAGCAGGGAGTCTGACAGAGTGCATGATGTCAACTCTTGCAAATACATTAGCCTTGCACCAGCACAGCCAGCGCAATGACCTGCTGAAGGCTTTCACTGTTGCAAGTATAAAATTGCCCTGAAACCCATCACTTAATTTAATTTATCATTGCTTCCTCCCTCCTTTTTAAAGTGTCAAGTCTTAGAAGTAATTCAAGTATCATTTAAATCATTTTATATTCACTGAAAGACACTGCTTATGAGATCATTATTCAACACTAAAAGCTAATAAAGAAGAGATTTTAGCACTACTGATACGAATTAGGAAACCCTTCCATAAGCAAAAGGAATGTTCTCCATCCAAACAGGTGAATATAATGGTTAGCTGGGAAAAGGAAGCTGTTAAAAGCTGGTTATGTTTCTGCAGCATCAAAACTCAAAACTCTGCAGAATTCTCTGTTCTGGCTTGTAGCGCAAATGGTAAGAACACACATGGAGTACAGGAGCTGTGGTTGCAAGCAGTGACATCTTAAACAACTGCAACCTAACTCCAAAACATTTCTCATGATTTTTCACTCTCAAAATGAAAGATAAGCAGTACTCAAGTCTCTCTTTCATACAGAACTCAGAGCTAACTCTACCTAGCATACCAATTAGAAGATAAAAAATTATTTCAGTGTCACCTTTGGCAGCCAGCATGGCAAGCACAGAGTAAAGCCACTGGAGTGCGTGCAAAAGACCTACTAGCCAGAGGTGGCCAATCTTTTGGATGGCACTGGCCACCCATCCTACTTCTAGAGGCAATCAAGAACTGTTTGTTCCATCTCTTTCCCCATCGTGTGATCAGACCTGTTACATACTTAGTCACACCCTGTTAGGTAAGGACGTGCACTTGCTGCACAAGTGACAGGACTCCAGGTAAGCTGTCATTAGGAAGGAGGCCGGAACGGCTCTGGTGTGCCGGATCCAACCTTCCTGATGTGAGTTAAGTTCCCCTACACCAAAGCATTTAAGATATATGGAGGAGGCCAACTGCATGGTTTCTCAGGCTGCATGGATTTTTTATTATTAGCAATTTCTCATTCATAGACTAAAGCAGCTCAAAACCAGCACTCTTAAATTCGTGAGAATTAAGGCTTGCTAAAGACCTTTTCACTTTTAATACTTGGCATGTCTCAAAGGATTTAAATAAAGCACTAGAGAACTTACTGGTTTCTGGAGGCTTGCTGGATAATGCTGAGAAAGTGAGGTACATGACGTAGCAGCTGATGATTCCTGACTGCAGCAAACCAGAATGGGGTTGGCCTTTAGTAGAAAGGGGGCAAGAGACAATTTTTGTAGACATTTTAACAAACTGAAAGGGAAATTCAAATATTTAAAAAACATTACACTAAAACCTTTTGAAAGAGGAGAATATCTTTTATGTTCTATTTCAAGCACCTCAGATGCATTTTGTCTGGGGGCTAAAGAGAAAAGAGTTTGTCCTTTAGTTCTAGTAGCTGTTTTAGAAAGGCACTAAGACTTCCACGTAAGTAAAAGATCACCCCTCTGCTCTAGCCAAAAATGTCAGCTTTCCAGAAACTACTGACAGGCTGCCATTATAGTTTTATTGGCCTGTAAAATCTGTTTTGGAACCGCTGAAATTACTCCTATTTCCTGGCCCAATGATTGATAGATACTAACAGCACACATAAAATATTCTGGAAAACCATGATATACAAGACCAAGACCAAGATTTCTGACTTCTGTCGACTCATCTGCATGCCCAAACTTTACAGACAGTAAATCACAAGCAGTCGAAAGTAAATGTAAGAACTGAATGGGCTGGAGAGCTATTACCTCAGCAGTTACCATAGCCTAAGGAATGTGTAAGTTCCCCAATGCATTGCCAGCCCTCAGCAAGTGAGCCTTATTTACAGGCTGTCTGACGGCATGCTCAAAACATCTCACATCTCCAGTTTTAGCAGCTGTACTGATGACAAGCAATACTACATCACAGTGGAGATAAGGAGATAAGGGTAAGAATGACACCAAATCTAAACGTCAGATCTGCGCATTAGACTTTTTGCCCCAAATATGGGGCATGTCTCAAAGTATGTGAACAGTAAAGGTATCAGCAAACCCCAGAGGTAAAGAGAGTGGCACACTCACGGTCCTGGACACAGGGTGATATGGCCACCAGCGACACAAAGAAGCACAGGCCACCGTTAACGCCGAGGAGGATCTTGTTGTACGTGCAGCCCTCGGGGCGCGTGTAGAAGATGGCCATGACGATCAGGGCCGCCACAGCGATCGTGTACAGGACCAGCGTGACCAGAGCCAGCAAACCGTTCCAGAGCTGCTTGTGATTCGCGCCAGCCGTCCTGCGGAGATAAGGACAAGCGCCTTATCTCTTTCTCCCCTCCCTTTACAGATCAAAACCCCTCCCCCAAAAAACCCAGACTATTCTAGTGAGGGATGCACTAATTATCAAGCACAAAGAGAGCGCATGTATTGCTGTCTAATAAGACTGTATAATGTAAACAGTGCCAAAGTTAAATGCTGCTGCTGGAAATCTCTCACCCACAGAAAAGCAGCTGGAGCAATTACCAGTAAAAACAGCTATGGTGTAAGGAGCTCCCATCTCCTCTTCCATGGAAACATATCTTAAAAAGTCCAAGAATCTGCTAAAAGCTTTCTTATTAGTCAGTACGCTAACTGGAATGAAAGAGGGTAGCAAAGGTTGTAGAGGAACAGACTAGAAGAAACAGGAGAAAAGAAAGGGGAAGAAAAAAGCATAAATTCATACAAATACATGGGGGAACAATTTAAGTATTTTGATGCGTGATGAGAGGCTAAGAGATAAGAAGGTGATATTGAATGTACTCACACTAGAATTTAAATCAATGCCAAAACATCGTGTAAGAAGGTTGTTAACAGAATCTTGCATAGTCAGATGAAGGTAGGAAAAACACCAACTTTCATGTTTAAAAAAAAAAAGTCATTTGATGTATATTAGTCTCAAACCAAAATACAGGATTTACCAGTTTATATCGCTATACACAGTCTCACAGCTATGTTTTGCAATCCAGTTTTATTTTCATACATAGTCCTGCGCCTTAGCAGGTGTGTTTTCATGTAGAACTGAATTTCTAAAACGAGAGGTTTTGCATACAACTACTCAGTGGAAAGCAGAACAATTTAGGGCAAGAATGAAACAGCAAAGGGTAGAAACAAATAAGGAAGAAACATCTCCATCAGGGAAAGCAGAAAGCAGGTGAAGAAGAGATGCACACCTCTAAATACAGGTATTAAAGCGTCTTCTCAGAAACTGCATCCACACTATTTTGAATTCTTTATTCCAATGGATGTCTCATTTAGGAGTTCCCCAGAATATTATACAAATAGCTACTTGCCCAACACATACCAGTTTTTATTCCACTTGTGTGCAAACTCAACAAGCAGGATGAGCTGAATGGCAATGAAAAGGAAACCTCCCGTTGCTCCTACATAGCGCCAAGCTGCAAGGCAGATAAGCAGAAAATAGGTCAAACCCCAGTTGCCTTCCCCCACGAGATAAAAGGGAATTATTATCCAAGCAATGAAGCCATTACATGGTTTGAGTATCTGAGCCCCACAGATGTAGCAGATGAGGTATTTCAGCTGAAAGGCCAGCTCAGCTAACCCAAGAATAGTGGCCTGATGAATGCAGCTTGCAACCTGCTACACCTTCAAAATAAACCTTTTAGGACACATACCAGGATTCCCTAACCTAAAGAATCTTTGTGGAGACAACGTTGCTATATTCAGACATAAAATACTAGACCCTTTATTTGTGATGTGGGAGGGAAAAAAAAAAAAAAAGCCCTGAAGGCATTAAGGCATTTCACAGAAGCCTAAACCCTAAAATTGCAAGGTACTGGAACCCAGCACTAAAAACAGCAAATTCTTTCCCTCTTGATTCCAGCACCACGGAAAAATAAAGGTGGGGCTCATGGTCTGTCCCTAGCCGCTCCCAGAGAACGAGAACACTTGGTATTCATTGAGTAGTTAAAGAGAGACAGGGCGTTTGACTACTTAACTATTCATCTACATGTACTTGAAGAGCCATTTGGTGCTTTGGACAACATAGACCTTGTGCACAACTTCAGAAGTCTCTGAGTAAATACAGATACCTTTGAAAAGCTTGGCTGCATATACAGTTTGCATTGCTGTGTAGAATGCAACGTGTAAGTGACGCTCAGTATCCAACAAATTTCACTGAAGAAGACTGATCGAGGAAGTGCATTAGCAAAGTCTGGCCATATCTTAACATTGTATTTTCCTTTTGTAAAAAGCTTGTGGAAGCCAAGGGGAGTAGCAGAATTGCCAGCATGTTATGCTTAGCAAAAGATACAGATTTTTTTCATCTGCACCATAAGTTCATTGTTCAACTGAAAGCAGGCAAAAATGACATTTTCCTTGTTTTGCAAAATCTATTGTATTTACTGAATGAGCATGCTGATTTCAAAAGAGGCAGGGAACAGGGTGTGCTTGTGTGTTTGGGAGAGGCACAGTAGGAGCCAGGAGACCACCACTGGAGTGAGTAATTAAATAGCCAGCCTGTCTGTAAGGATCTCATAAGCCCACAGGCAGGGTACTTCAGGATGTTTTACAAAGCCATCATAGATAAGGTTAACATCACCAGTGTGGATTTAGTACTGGAGCTCATGAAAGCCTAGGACATTCACAAAATATCCCTCCCTCCATGATTAACAAACTGCTGAGTGTGGGAATCATGGCGGGGGAAATTCATAATTACAGAAAAAATAAGAAGGGAGAGAGAGGAGAATGCTCCCAGAACGGTTTTTGATAGGAGAAAAAAAAAAAAAAAAAAGACACTGGAAGTTTTTTGACAGGGGGGAAGGGAAGG